ACGTCACCATCTAAAAACACATACAAAGGTATCAACTGTAGCTGTGAACATGACAGGATGTGTGATTACCTAGAAGAGCATCAGGACTGTTTGAGGCATATGATAGCTATGTGATTAACATGATGATTCAGCCTCTATGGAGAGAGACATATGACAAGCATGCTCATTTCTGACGTGGAGCTAATCTGAAGTAAACATTGAATACTGCTTTCTATTCCTCCATCTTGTGACTGTGGAACTCCCTCTCTTGGATATGAGCATGTGAAGGACACTGTTCAGGAACTAGTTGATGCTCTGTATGTGATGACTACTTCCATTCTGGAGAGGATCACAGATACATGGATCCTGAGATTGAAGCTCACGCCGGAGATCAGGGAGATGTTTCTAACATTATGTTTGTCACCTTGTCGTCGGGATCTTTGACCTCCACGAACATCCCGAGGCCCTGCGTGGCCGGAAGATACTCCTCCCGCTGTTTGTCGTACAGCTGAGTGCGGTAGTTACCTGGAAACACAGAGAATATTCACTGAAGCACAGAGAGAGGTGATAATGTGGGGGGGGGGGGAATACCTTGGTTGCTGATTGGCTAATGGTTACACAAGACAACACATCGTTATGACATCATAAAGTGGCCTAAATCTGATCCGCTCATTTTCAGACATGTACAAATCAAGGGAACAGAAATAAGTAGAAGCATACTAAAACTTCTTAAACTTAACTTAAAAAAGGGAGCATGTAACATTATGAGGTAGCACCAGGTGACAACATTAATAGTATGTAGGAATAAAAAAAGTGTATATTGCAAATGGCTTCTCTTCAACAGTAGTGTAACTGTTTCAGTGGAGGGGCAGAAACATATTCCCTTTTTACAGTCCACATATATATTATACTGTGGAGTGCTTAATTTTACATTCTGCCTTATCTTAGCCAAGTGTATATATATTATAAGGGTAAGTGTACTCAGTGTGATAGGTATACAAAGTGAGACAGCTGTGTCATGGTTTGGCCCGTTTTTTACATTTTTCAATAATAAATATGCACTTTCTTTTACAAAGTTTTATGAGCATGTATATATACGGAAAGTTAGGGGATACAAAGTGCTTTTAAGAGCCACAAAAATAAATGAGAATCTTGTTTTTTGTTAGATTGTATTGGCCAAGTTGAAACATATGTTACTTAAATAACTTCTACTCTTTCTTTGCCGTCATTGCGCAGACTCCATTTGAAATAAAAAGTACACCCAAGATAATTAAGCAATTTGTTAAAGTGCCTTAATTTGAACAGCTGTTGCTTTATTTGCACAAACAGGTGAACTGAGGTTGGTCACTTATAACCTTGTTCTTCACCAGAAGAGCTGACATGAGGGCTTTGAAACACGTTATTGTGACATTAAGCTATATATAGTTTTACATTTTTAATATACTAATAGTGTTAGGGTTACCTACTCAGTCAATGAATCCATTTAACTTACAATTATTTGTCAGAATTCTCATTGTGTAAGTATTTTTTGAAAGCACCAATAGTCTAACCTGCAATACTGATGGAGTTATTTAATACAAATGATCTTAGTATTGTATTTTCTTAACATCTCTCAGCCCTTGTTGACTTTGTGAAACATGACTCCAACATATTGAACTCTTGTTCTAAAAACTAGTTTCATTAGTTTTTGAAATGGTGATTAAATATAAAATGTCCTTACATGATGATTAGGGTGTGTCCAGAGAAGTACAAACTGAACATTTAGCTACATAAACAAAGATTTAGCTACTGAAATGTGACTTAAAATGCTGCTTTAATTCAGATTAAACTCGGGAGGTAAGATGCAAGTATAAAAGTAGTGTTTAATGTCTGATTAACTAATGTGAGTGACTATGTGTGTCTAAATACTGAGCTGTAAATCAACACATCAGCACTACAGGTCCGTGTGTGAACTCATTTAGCCGATTAGCTAATATTAGCTCAAGTTGGTGGGCTAGTTAGCATTAGCACATTAACCGGTTGACTTCCTCTCCTCACTCACCGATAATCATCGTCTCGTCCGGGATCTCCTCGATGAAGCATTTCTTCTCGGTCTCTCCGATGTGGAAGTACAAAGAGGAGACGACGCTGTAGAAAACGTTCAGGAGTAAAACCGACAACACACACGACCGCATCCTGACAGGCACCATCACAGCAGAGAGCGAGAGAGACTGCGCATGCGCGGACACAGCAGTGCCACGTAAACCCTCGTTTAAGTCTGGCCAATCAGCGCGCCGTATGGGCCTGCTGGGTGTTGTAGTTTTCTGTGCGTTGGGACCGTTGGGACATATGAGAACAGAACAACTAATCCACACAGGAGGAAGACAGGAGATGGATTGCACGTGTACACTTCCAAATAAAAATGGGACTTGTCAGAGGAATCAAATAACATAAGCCAAACATTTAAATAAATACACACTTTTTTGAGGAATTGAAAGTAAATTTGTTATAAATGTTGTCACTATACAAGGCTACCAAGCAAAATATGTTGGTCGACTCAAGAGCAATGCGTTAAAAAGGTAAAGGTACAAATTCACCAACAAATCTTCACAGCAAGAGCGTTCATAGTTAAAGTATATTATGGTGGCATTGAGGTCTAAGCATTTGGTGATACATGTGGGGGGGCCAGGATCAATGCCTGGGAGTAACATGTTATGTCTTCAGGTATTCTAAAATGTACTTTAAATGTACATGATATATCTATGTTAAATCATCATGTTGATTGTGTTAGTGTACGCACAGTATGGATGAGCTAGTTAATGCAAGTATGAAGAATAGTATGAGTGATTGAACATAGATAAGGTAAAATAAAAAAATGACTGAGCCAAAACATGTGTCTATCTATCTATCCATATGTCCATCTGTCCGTCTATCTATCTATATATCTATCCATCTATCTATATATCTATATATGTCTATCTATCTATATATATCTAGTAGTCCCACATGCAGCCTGTAAGGGGCAGTAAAGCAAAACTGCTGTGGGTTGAACCTAACCCTGAAGAAGGGGCTCTTCCGCCCAAGCTGTTTCCATGGCAATCGAACATGGCGCCGGGTGAGTCAAACACTCTTTGTGCCGAAACACATTTATACATGAAATACAAATAATAATAACTAGTATATTGAACTAACGTTATTTACTACTTTAACGGTTTGTTGTTAAGCTTACCTTGCGACAGAAACAGGAGAGAAAAAGTCCCCTTGTTATTGTCAGCTGTTAGAAGTTAGCATGTTAGCTTGTGATTTAATCAGACTTCTTTATAATTATAGTCTATATAACTTATACACAGACATGGAAGAAGTACTCAGATGTTGCACTTGAGTAAAAGTAGAAGTACTCAGATCATGTACTTGAGTAAAAGCAGAAAAGTATTATCATCAAAATATAGTGAAAGTAACGACAGTAAAAGTAGTCATTGTGCAGATTGGTCTCAGGTCTTGTACTTGAGTAAAAGTAGAAGTACTCAGATCTTGTACTTGAGTAAAAGTAGAAGTACCAGAGTGTAGGAATACTCTGTTACAGTAAAAGTCCAGCATTCAAAATGTTCCTCAAGTAAAAGTAGAAAAGTATTCTCATCAAAATATAGTTAAAGTACAAGTAAAAGTAGTCATTGTGCAGATTGGTCCATTTCAGAATAATATATATGATATGTTTTATAATGATTGATCATGAAAGTGTTCTCAAAGCTGGTAAAGGTGCAGCTAGTTTGAATGACTTTGTATACTGCAGGGTAGCTGGTGGATTTACTCCAGGTGGAACTAAAGTCTGATTTAACACTTGATTAGATTTCACATCATTCATCCACATCTGTGAAGTAACTAAAGGTATTAAATACATGTAGTGGAGTCAAAGTACACAATTTACCTCCTAAATTTACCTTTAGTGGAGTGGAAGTACAAAGTAGCATAACATTGAATTACTCAAGTAAAGTACAAGTACCTCAAAGGAGTATCTCGGAACACACAGTATAACATATACAGAATACATTATTTTGAATACTCTCCAAGATATACCAATCTACTAAAGGGACAGAGACATATACACACATATATATATATATATATAGTACTACAAAAATAAAAAATGTGGTGCATTTGAATACATCTTTAGATCAGAATGACAATACTTCATATATCCCAGGGAGTAATTGGGTTTTCTTGACAGTCGCACCATATATATATTAAAATAAAACTATCATGTTTATATAAAAATAAGAAGCTAGAGTGAATGAGCACATTGTACAACTTATAACCACTATTAATCATATCATTGTATCTTCTTCTCTGCAGGGAGCCAACCAATTGTATCCTTCTCATGAAATTGATGCACACACCAATCTGTTTAATTGTGTGTGTTTACTACAATCCTCTGTTGTCCTTGACTCCTTCTCCCTCAGCTGTCGTCCACTCCTCTGCAGGTCCTCCTCTACCTGAACGTCTGGTACTTCGCTGCCTTCTACCTGGCAGAGATCCTGATGTTCATCTATAAAGGTCTGTCAGAACATTTCACACCTCCACACGTCTGAAAAACCGTTACTGTGAGATGAGACAAACCTTGTGAAGAAGACACTGGATTACTCTGAAGCCATTGTGCTGAGATGTTAGAGCAGCACCCTCTGCTGGGGAAACCTTCACATTACACTTCACTTCATCGTTATTGTGTATAGTACCAGTTCACCGATGAATAACAAAATGAAGCTTCAAGTATTAGGAACATTTCAGTTTTTATTCATTAAAGTGAATCAACAATGATCAGGAAAACAAAGTGCATACTGAGAGTACATTGTACAAAGTTTAGACACAGTAAAGTGTACATAATACAAAAAAGGTCCCAGAGATTCAGGATTTGGTCACATGTTATCTAATGTTTCTACTTCCTCCGTGTTGAACTAATGTTTATTTGCTGATATTCATACATATTTCTTGTTCCTGTGTGTAGGGATTATTCTGCCCTACCCGTCTGATAACCTGGTTCTGGACGTGGTGCTGCTGCTGCTCTTCCTCGGCCTGGAGACTCTCAGGATCTTTTACGGTGAAAAATAATAATCTAACTGTACCTGAACTACCTTTAAATAAGGATGCATATTATTATTACATTTCCACAGATCTGCTCTTTGCTGCCACCATGTGGGCAAACGCAATATTACACTCACAAAACTCCAGATAGAGTGCTAGGATGTTGTATTTATCTAGTGGACCCTTAAGGCATCTCCCTGGTTCCCTCCTCGAAAAGCCAATCAGATCTTTCCATTGGATTTTGGAATATTGTGGAAAATAATCTCTTTGGCAAACACACCTTTATTTTTTAATACTTACATTTCGCAGGATAATCTCCACATATTAACACCACCTTGTGATTTTTTAAAGTAAAAAGCCAGAAATAGGCTATAAAGTAACTACAGCAAGGTCACATGACTTCAAGTCACCACCGCTAAGCTAAAGGAGGCTAATGTTGGGCTATAAAGGAACTACAGCACGGTCACATGACTTCACGTCACCACCGCTAAGCTAAAGTGGTAATGTTGGGCTATAAAGGAACTACAGCACGGTCACATGACTTCACGTCACCACCGCTAAGCTAAAGGAGGCTAATGTTGGGCTATAAAGGAACTACAGCACGGTCACATGACTTCACGTCACCACTGCTAAGCTATAAAGGAACTACAGCACGGTCACATGACTTCACGTCACCACTGCTAAGCTAAAGAAGGCTAAGTTGGGCTATAAAGGAACTACAGCACGGTCACATGACTTCACGTCACCACCGCTAAGCTAAAGGTGGCTAATGTTGGGCTATAAAGGAACTACAGCACGGTCACATGACTTCACGTCACCACCGCTAAGCTAAAGGAGGCTAATGTTGGGCTATAAAGGAACTACAGCACGGTCACATGACTTCACGTCACCACCGCTAAGCTAAAGGAGGCTAATGTTGGGCTATAAAGGAACTACAGCACGGTCACATGACTTCACGTCACCACCGCTAAGCTAAAGGTGGCTAATGTTGTGCGTGATGACGTTTAGTCGTCTTATTTAGACACTTGTTAGCAACCGCCATTTTTATGACACATATAAGGCTCAGATATTCCCCAGTGTGGTATTTGCTGACGTGTTTTATGTCGTAGTAATAATAATGTTTACTTCGAGACGAGGGAAGTGGAAGTGCTAAAATGCCAACTAATTTCCGGGTTTTAGGACTCATTCCTGCACCACTCTACAGAGAGCCACCCTACCATTTCTAAATAACAGTCTGAGGCTCGCAGGATGTCAATCTGCTGCTTGGTGTTTCTCTATAAATGCCTGTGGGTGCTTTGCTTGCTATTTGACTTTTTCTCTTTTTGTCTCCTTTTTCTTTCTCATTTTCCCACAATTCACCACCTTCCTTCCACTCCCCACCTTCCCATAACACCTTTTTTTTAACCCTGATTTCATTACTAATTTCCTATTCCATCCATGAACACGTATAAATACACAAACACACAACAAGGTGAAGACCTGGAGCGCAATGACGGTTCAGCCGAAAGGCCTTATTACATGTCCTCGGTGCTTCGTGAGATTCTGTTGAAGGACAAAGCCGGGGATCCGTCTTCTGCCCGGCAACAAGACGATGAAGACGACGATAAAGACGTTGTGTTGAAGCAGCCTCAAGAGGAAGATGAAGTTTAGAGAAGAGGAGTTTTGAGAGCGAAGACGCTGAATTACAGGCATAATGGAACATTTAGTTATAGTTAAAGACTTCTGAAGATAAGGATCTGGAACTTTGTTTGTATCCAATTGGGAAGTTCTCCTTTTTGTTAACCTTTTTTATTAAAGGTTCCCCGCACTGCAACTGGCCAACAGAGGTGGGAGAAGTACTCAGATCTTGTTCTTGAGTAAAAGTAGAAGTACTCAGATCTTGTGCTTGAGTAAAAGT